TTTTAGTTTTTATTTTTGTGAATTGTTGTTGGGTGTAATTTCCATCCACCGTTTTTGTTCTATATTTTTGGTCGTTTATCTCACAAGGGTAAGTTAAAGTGCATGAGCACAAGATCTTTTCTTCTACCCCTTGACCCTGAGATTGAGCGGACCCTTCGAAAAACTCGAAAGGAGCAAAGACTTCGAAAACAACTAGAAAAGCAAAAAGAGAGAGAAGGTGAAATCAGTCCTGAAAGTGAGGTAGAGAGTACGAGCACATCAATGGCAGATATTCCACCTCGTGATCCGGTTGATCCACCTGCTGTTAACGGTAATATGAGGGATCATGCAAGAAATGATGAATTCAACCATATCCAGATGGCGGACAACAGAGACGTGGCAATGCGAGAATATGCCACCACGGCTTTTCAGAACTTTGATTCAGGGATAGTCAACCCTATTCCAGCCCACGCAAACTTTGAGCTTAAACCAATGATGTTCCAAATGTTGCAGACAATTGGACATTTTGGAGGGCAGGAACATGAGGATCCACATGATCATCTGAAATCATTCATTCAAATTGCAAATGCATTTCGATTACCTGGTATAACAGACGATGCTCTTAGACTAACACTTTTTCCATTTTCTTTGAAGGACCAWGCTAGAGCATGGCTYAATGCATTTCCACCGGGATCCATCACCACATGGGGGTCGTTAGTGGAGAAGTTCTTAACAAAATTCTTCCCACCTACTCGCCACGCTGATATCARRGAGGAGATCATCTCCTTTAGACAGTATGATCGTGAACCTGTTCACGAGGCGTGGGAAAGATTTAAAGAACTAATCAGGAAATGTCCGAACMATGGCTTGCCGGCATGCATCCAGATAGAACATTTCTTTAGAAGTTTAGATCATCCTACTAAGATGATGCTAAACAATGCTGCCAACGGAGCCTTTACAAAGAAGACATTCAACGAGATAGTYGACATCCTAAATGACTTAGCTTCACACAACGAACTATGGTGTTCGCAAAGATCTAGGGCAGCACCAAAGAAGCAAGATCCAGCTGGAGTTTTGGCTCTGGACATTGCGACCTCGATGCAAAAAGAGATGGTTACAATGAACCAGAGGCTAAAAGAGATGGCATTGGGAATAAAAAATCCATTAGCCACGCCGATACAACCTGTGCAGTCGGATTATTGCACTCTTGTCCCTGTTTGCCAAGTCAACGATCTCATTTATTCATTTTGCAGTGAAAACCATATCTATGATAATTGTCCACATAACCCTACTTCCGTTTTTTATGTAGGACATGGGAACAATAGGAACTTTAACCCATATTCGAACACCTACAACCCAGGTTGGAGGCACCACCCTAATTTCTCATGGGGAGGTCAAGGAGGTTCGAGCGGTTTTAATCAAGGGCAAAGCCAGCAGAACAAGCAGCCCTATGTTCCACCTACACAGCAATACATCTCGCCGCCGCAACAACAGTACAATCAGAGAACACAGACTCCACCAGTTCAAAATAACAACTCAAATCTTGAGAATATGATGAAGGAGTACATGGCCCGAACCGACGCAGTGATACAATCCCAAGCGGCATCAATGAGGAATTTCGAGACCCAATTGGGACAGCTCGCCAATGAATTGAWGAATAGACCACAAGGTTCTTTTCCAGGCCATACTGAATTACCAAAACGAGAAGGGAAAGAACAGTGCAAAGCTGTCACCCTTAGGAGTGGACTGGCATATGATGGACCAACAATGCYAACAACAGATGTACAGATTCCGTCCACTGAACCAAYTGTAAAGATACCAGARAATCYAACAACACCAGAAAAAGAAAATAYTAGAAAAGGTAATGAGGACACCCCGAGTGTTCCTCCACAGGTACAACCTTSTTTTACCCCTACTCCCCCGTTTCCACAAAGATTAGTTAAGAAAAATAATGATTCCCAGTTTAGAAAATTTTTAGATATTTTAAAACAATTGCATATAAATATACCATTAGTGGATGCTCTAGAACAGATGTCAAATTATGCTAAGCTTTTGAAAGATATAGTTTCTAGGAAGAAAAAGATAAGAGAGCATCAACTGGTAGCCATGACAAAATGTAGTAGTGAAGCTGTAGGCAGCCAGCTACCCATGAAGTGTAACGATCTTGGCAGTTTTACCATTCCATGTTCCATAGGAGGAAAAAACTTAGGCAGGGCATTATGTGATCTAGGCGCTAGCATTAATCTTATGCCATTATCAGTTTTCAAATCTTTAGGCATAGGAGAAGCTAGACCTACTACGGTTACCCTCCAACTAGCAGATAGATCTGAGGGAAAGATAGAAGATGTTTTAGTCCAGGTGGACAAATTCATTTTCCCTGCGAACTTTATCATTCTAGATTGCGAGGCGGACTTAGACGTTCCCATTATTTTGGGAAGACCATTTCTAGCCACTGGGGATACAGTTTTTAATGTGAGGAAGGGAGAAATTACAATGAGGGTAAATAATGAAGAAGTTAAATTTAACGTTCTAGACGCCATGAAATTACCAGGAGACTTTGAAGARTGCTCTGCTATAAMTARCTTKAATCCTRTTATGTTTGATGAGTTTTATGACTTGTTAGTTACAGAGATTGAAGAAGAGCTTGATAAGATAGCAGAAGGACCGGAAGATGTGACTAATCCTGTTGAAAAAATACAAAAAGAAGAATGCAAGTCGTTACTTCCGTCCATAGTGGAACCACCCACGCTGGAGCAGAAGCCATTACCGTCGCATTTGAAATATGCGTATCTAGGGGATAACGACACTTTACCAGTTATTATAGCTTCCAATTTATCACCTACTAATGAATATTCTTTATTGCAGATTTTGGAGAAGCACAAAAAGGCCATTGGATGGACGATAACAGATATCCGAGGGATAAGCCCGACCTTTTGCATGCACAAAATCTTATTGGAAGAAGATGCTAAGAACTTTATCGAGAGTCAAAGGCAATTTTCTTATGAGAATGCTAAGCTGTTTAAGGAAAAAACTAAACAGTGGCATGATAGGCGTCTTCGACCGAACAATCTTCAAGAAGGTGATCTGGTTCTGTTATTCAATTCTAGGTTGAAACTTTTTCCTGGGAAACTTAAGTCTAGATGGTCTGGTCCCTTTCAAATTTTTAAAGTCTACCCGTATGGGGCAGTGGATCTAGTTGACTCTAAGGGAAGTGTTTTTAAAGTAAATGGGCAGAGACTTAAGCCATATTTTGGAGAACCAGTGGATAGAGGAAAAACCTCTATTCAACTTTCAGGTCAATAAATGTTTGCGAAAAATGTTTTTCCTTCTTATCCGTTTTGAAAGAACAAAAGTAAAGGAAGGAAGTTTTAGTATCTTACATTCTTTTTATTTAATTATAAAAAGTTTTTCTTATTAAGAGATTGTTTTTGAAAACGTTGAAAAAAAAAAAGAATTACATAGGCGCCTGGCGCCTGCCCTTTGCGAAAAATAAAAATCACGCAGGCGCCTGGCGCCTGCTCTGTTTTTCAGAAGTTCGAAAATATTTCCCTTCACGGTTTGGGTTTTAATTTTCGATAATATGAGCTTTATTTTGGGTCAAACATTAATCCTCTATGATTTAACTTTAAAACTTCTCTTCAAACTCAAATTTTGTTTCCCTAATCCTATTTGGTATTCAAATTTGTTTTCTTTTCCTTTTAGGTTTAGGAAACTTAGTTGAACTTAAATGTCAATCCCTTTCCATTTAGGATTTAGTTTAGGGAAAGCTTAAATAGACCCATTGCCTAAGCTTTACAACTCCACCAAAACCCACACAACTTTCTTCTTCCCCTTGTTTTTTTTCGGCAAAAACCACTCCCTTCATCACCCTTGTTTTAGATTTTCAGCCACCACCAAAAAGAATAAGAAATTTCCAGCATTTGCTTACATCTATGGCTTCTTCTTCTCAACATACTTCACTTCCTACCTCTTCTACTMAAGCTCCAAATGCCACAAGCATTCCYTTTCCACCATTGGAGAACTTCCAACACCACATGGKTTCAGATTCTAGGCTAGCTGCTGTTAGGGGAGGAAACCCGCTTCAAACATTTGAATGTCCTCCATCCCAAGCTCCTACACAACATCCTATAATGAGCCCACATGGTTATGTTAATTTTCAGCAACTACCCACCCTTAATATACCTCAAAACAGTGAGTTTAGGGCTGAAAATCCTCAACAACTTCCTCCAATGATCAATCCGGGTATGTACCAACCGTTTATGTTTAACCCGGTTCCTTCCTATCATTTTCCCTTGTCCCAAATGCAAATTCCAGCTAGTGTTCATCCTTATGGAATGCCAAACCCATCTACTCTATTTCCTAGCCTTCCACCTTATTATGGAATGGGTCATTGGATACCTCCACAAAATTATGGGATGATTTCACCTAAGGTTCCCCCACCACCTCAACTTCCATTCCTAGAAAGAGGACCTCAAGCACCACAATTGGACCCTAACATATTGAGTACCTACAACATGGGACAACTAAAACCCTTAGAGCCTCCTAGGATGCCAACCCCAACCAATATGCCAATGGATGCAGGAGATGAGCATGGAGGAGAGCAAGAGAAGTGCCATAGCCACAGGCTAGAACCCGGGGTTTCGATAGGGCAAAAGAGGAAGGGCAAGGAGGTGATGACAGACCCAGAAATTGAGGAAGATGGGAGTAGTAGACGTCTGACGCCTAAGGATTCGACTATGGAGAACAGGGACGAGGAGCAGTTTTATTCATCTTCATTTATTATTACACCGGAAGATGGTAATGATGATTTTCTACTGGTTTCACGAGGCCATTGTTCAAATATGCCGGAAACAGAGGATACCGAGAACGAAGTGGTGAGAACAGATACTCAGGAACCTTCCCCATTGGATACACCTACAGAAGGAGCGTTTTGTAGTCACCAAGAGTTGCCTACTGGGGCAACTGGATCTACTCCGTTGGCAACGGATGAGTATGTCACACCGATGGCCACTCTACCAGGGGTAAGGGATGCTCACACTATTCCTTCTAATACAGTTAACCCGCTTGGGTGTGATACAGGTAGATCCAAGGTTGGGGAGAATAGTACTCAAGAACCTACCAGCGAAGAAGATCCTGAGGACACGCAGACAATAAGGAAAATGTTCCAATACAAGAGGCGGGAGAAAAAAGTGTTCAAAACGTCGTGCAGTTCAGGCTAAGAAGCCGACAGTGCCCATGAATGAACCTAAAACGAGAGCTGTGAAAGCTAAAGCAGCTGAAGCTAAGAAGAAGGTAGTGGCACCTGGGCCAGTTGATACAATCAAACTGGACTTGTCTGAGGGAGAGGAGGTCGAGACGAAATGGAACGCGGCAAA